AAAAAAAAAAAAAAAGTTCATAAAAACTTTCTAACCGGGAAGGTATCCATTTAAAGTCGGCGAATTAAATTTAATATCACACACTCTTGGCTCGAGCGACCACGACTATTAGGAGAACGACAACCGAAAGAAACAGAGAAGTTTTCAGCTTTTCCTGCAGCGGATCAAACTCACCTCCTTTTTTCTCCTCGTACGAAGGCCCAAAAAACGTATTTGCAAGCTCCATTATCTTTTCAATAAGCTGCATGATTTTCACTTTGGTGTTCACGAGAAACCAACTCAGTATGTCTTCGACTGGATTGTTATCATCATCAGCTGCTTCGTCTATGCTATTATTATTAATACCTTGTTCATCAGCTAATTAAAAAAAAAAAAAAAAAAAATGGAGTATCATAATTTTGGAATAATTAATTTCAAAACACACCTGTATGTAATACTTGAAGAAAACAAACCTCGGCTAATTGAGCCCCTAAGCTCCTCCTTCACAACATCATTGTTAAAGACAGCATCCCAAACAGCTCTATCAGATGATAGTGCCATCACCATTCTCTGTACAAATAACATGCCAAAAAAAAAAAACAATTTTCGAGATAGTAATTTGAGGGGAAAAAAAAAAGAAGAAGAGAAGATCGCCTTTCTATGCTTTGAGCATTAGAACTTCGAAAGATACTATTAAATGGCAACTAAAATTTTCCAGCAAAACAAGAGAAATTGTGCACCTGCACAGAAGGTTCGCTTTGCAACAAATGGAAAGCATCATAAACCCTGTCGGGCCCATAAGGCCTCAACATTCTTGAACTGGCGAGAGCCAGTGAGGGTTCGATCCAATCGACCTCAGATGAGGATGAGGAAATTATCTTCTCAGACCCCTCGGTACTGTTATCTTCATTCACCGCCATGCTAAATTTCTCGGTTGCAATATGTGCAGGGGACACCGGTCGACAGGCCCTTCAAAAAAAAAAACAAAATTGCACTCAACCATTCAAGAAAGTCGAAAATAACTTGGACACTCCAGCATGAGAGTAAATTTTCCTCTCAAATATTCAGCACAATTAAAAAGAACAAATCAGAGCCATCTCACACAATAATAGATAACTTGTTAAGATTATTACATATATACATTCACTTGAAGTTTGTATTTTACTTATAAAACTACTTCCTACTAGAGATGTAAGCTGTAGAATACTTACAAAATATGAAGGGACTTGTTATGATTTCAACAGATAATTGGTAGGCGACTTAAGCGAAACTTATAGGTTATTTAGGTAGCTTATGAGTTTCTTATATTTAAATAAGTTCAGTTTGATAGAAAAATGGGAAAATGCTATGGTCCCGTTATGGAACCACCCCGTCCGGTGTTTTTGACAGTTAGATCATCTATCTTATACTAACTACATATTTTCCGACGGAATGGTTCTGTAACGGGACTGTAGTACTTTCTTTGCCTATAGGCTAATTTAGTCAAATGCTTTTATTATATTCATTTCTATCTTATCAAATTAAAAGTAATGAAATTAGCATCACTTCAAAATCAAATTCATTTCTTTGCCTAGTCTGTGATGCAGCAACGTGGTAGACGAAAGGAGGTCTCGTCTTCATCAGTCTGCCTATAATTTTCTTTCAATTAAACACAAACACCTAATTCTAGTAACTAAATACGATCAAATGAAATGGATGTAATACATTAAATTACACAATAAAAATTATAAAATATACAAAGAATTTTATTTTTTATTTTTAAAAAAAAAAGACTCACTGTTGAAGTGCAGAAATTGCATAATTGACTTCGTCTCTGGATGGAACAGTAGCAAATACTAAATCGTCATCAAGGGAAACCACGCTTTCATGTTCAATGCACGCATCCAGACACACCCACTCCACGTCATCATCGCCGGAAGATCCCTGTTCGCCGGGTGCAGGTGCGCCGGGCTTCAGAAGGTTAATCAGCGTCGAAAAAGCTGGCGACCCATTTTTAGGGCCATCCGATGAAAGG